TCGATGGATCCGCCTGGAAAGAAAGGCCGACGAAAAAGGTCAGTTGTCCTCACATTCAAATGCAACGCACTCAAGGACTCGCCTTTCTGGGACCGAATGCGGGACAGACAGCTCGCTGGCCCTGATACGACTTCCTCATGTCAAGCTGAATCCTCTCCTGCTACGGATTCAGCTCTAAGTCCATCTCGAACTGCGGCCAAGGATGATTCTACGGTATTAGCGGAAGGGGAAACCGTACAGGCTGCGCAGAGACCAGCTAAACGTGGCCGTAAAGGGGTTTTCCGGTGTGATAAGTGTGGCAAGACCTGGAAGAATCCAAATGGTTTGGAATACCATCTCAACAAGTCGCAGACTGCCTGCAATCCTGGGTACATCCCTCCACCTCCTCCACCCCCTAAACTTCCAAAGCTTCCTAAGCCTCCTAAGCAACAAACGTCCAAACCGAAGCCTATTCTAAAGAGAAAACTGAGCACATCAAAGGGTCGGGATCAATCGCAAACCCCAGGCCTGCCACAACTGCCAGGTATGGTTCTAGAGTCATCCCAACGCGTGCCTGACAGTGGAGGCCGCAGCATTCTTCCACCATCCAAGAAGCGTGTTCGCCTCAGCGAGCCCCTCTCAAGCAATCAGAATGGCCAGGAGCACCCTCGACTTGGTTCTATTCGCGGGTCAATCATCTTGCAAGATGTAGAAGCATATGATGTTGTCGACCACCGAAGACGGCGGGGAAACAGCCAGGTTACTTCGCCCAGTCTTGATACTACCGTCTCTCAACGACTCCAAACGAGTCAAGGATTGTCGCTGGTAGCATCCAACCAACTATCAAGAGGTAGCGAACAGGGCGTCATACGTGATAAAGAACAACAACAAAGCAAGGCTGCGATGGTCGAGGTTCCCCGGACAACTAACAAACGTTCCACACCATCTTCTCGTAACCACGGAGTCGTAGCCGTGGAGAACTCCGGAATGCTCGCGGGGCTTCGTCACTTACACACAGGGAATGCAGGAAGTCCCAATGCCGCACTGTCCGATTTTAATTTGAGGACCCCTTCGCTTGAGTCTCCAAAAAATATGGGCCATTCTACGTCTCAAATGGTTTCCCAGCCAGCCGCCGTCAACGACCCTACTCCTAGCATCATAGGAAACAACAAAGGGAGCATTGAAGCCGCCCAGACAAACCAGCCCTCAACAGCCAAGATACCTCGCAAGCGATCTAAGAACACTGTCGGCTCAATACGCAGAGAACGTACATCTGATCTTATCCAGCATCTGCTTGATAAGAACGGTGGTGTATTTCCTGGACAGCGGTCTCTGTACTTGGCTGTAGTATCCCTTTGGGTCAAGAGGCACAGCGACATAGAACCCCCGGACTGCAAGGTGTGCCAGAATGTAGTGAACAAGATGGAAAAGACCGAAACACTGAAGCAGGTACGCTTCTTCTTCCTTGATGACAACAGCAAGCTTCAGGAATGTTGCGTACTTGCGAAAACACATCCCGGGCAGGCCAACATGGCAAATTTACCCACCGATCCTAAGGTGGTCATTGTCAAGGAGAAGATGAGGGAAATGTTTCCGGAGCCATATATTCCGGAGACTGCGTCGCTGTCACAGGAAGAGAATGAGCTCTTTAACGACGTTGCATTGAAATACAATGATACTCCACAGTCAAGTAAGCCTCGTAAAACGCATGAGAGGTCGAGCTTCGCTCAGGGGATTGAAGTCATGAAATATCCGGCCCATGCTGCAAGTGCTGCTTCTGCATACGCACCTGGATCAAAACGACCTATGGAGGACGAACCAACGTCTACGACACCCGCAAAGAAGGCCCGCCGTAACACCCGTGACCTCGATAAGCTCCACGGCGCTCACCCAAAACGAAGTGAACAACGTGTTTACTGGGACACTGGAGCAGTAGCCAAGTATATTTGGAACAAGAACCACAGTACGGTCGATAAATGGGATCAGCAACCTGCCTTTCTTCAAGACTTCGCAACCGGTACGTGGTCTGTTTTGCCTGAAGAAACTGCTACCCCACGACCTAGCATTAATGAAGTTCTATCCTCGCTTAAAAATACTCGAGGGAACACGTTGGCATCAGGGCGGCGAAATTCCAACGGTAAGCCTAAGGCTTCGGTTGAAGCTTCGAAAGAGAACCACATGGGTTCATCTAGAGCAATCATATGGAGTCACTACTCTCATGACGATTTTACCGAAGAAACTCATGACAACGGGTTTCCTAACACTACGAACAAGGGGACCAATGGAATCGTAAAGGATCGTTTTGTCGCTTCGTCACGTTCTGCATCATTGACGCCTAATGGTTTAGTATCCGAGGTAGAGAACAACAATGCGACCCCGATCGATACACGACGCGGTAGCATTTCAGGCGACAATTCAAGCGTCTATTCCGAAGAAGCTCGCCTTAGCTTTACAAAGAGCGAAAAAATTCCGAGTACGCAGACAGGCTATTGGCCTCGGCTGCCAGCCAGATTTTTCGAGTCGAATTCATCGAGCTTCATGTTGTCCGGGGCCATGCCAGATACGAGATGGTTTCAACGGGAGAATTTGCCGCAGAGTGCCAGAGACGTTACGAAAACTATACGTGGGAAATTCCAGTACAACTCCTGGGAAGACCCTGCGTACGGCAAGTTTTTGCGAGAAGTAGATATCATCGAGAGATGGGAACAATCAATCGAAGGTTCTCAGATTCTCTTGCTCGGATCTATCGCGCCGGACTATATATTCATGTCCCTCTCACCCGATGTCTCGAGAGTGAATATGAAGCCGATCACTCTTGAATGGCCCAACCAAAATCAATATACCCTGGAGACTATACCGGATGAGATCAAGAACACACCTCCCAACGATGATGAAGCTGGTTTGCCAGATTTGGTTTGTCGCACCAAGGGTAGACCTAAGAAGGAATGGAATCTCTTTCCAGAGTCTGGTCAGCCATCCAAACCAAGCGCGAGGAAGCCTGGAAAGAAAACCCAACAGAGAAAAGTGGCCCAGGTTGAACAGATAGGCCAGACGCAAGAGGCAGACGTCCAGTATAAGACGCGTGCGCTCCAAGAGATACAAATCCAGCACAAGGGCCGCGTGAGGAAACAGCAGCCGGGAGGAAGCAAATCTGGTGTGAGCGAAACGGAACTCATAGCCGCGTATGTTGTCGTCAGAACGCTCCTGGGAGGTGTTGAGAGAAAGATAGATATCGGGCTGATCTTGAAGATCTTCCCCAAATTCTCTCACTCAGCTCTGAAGAAGTTTTGGCCTAAGGCCAACCGGGAACGGAAGACATACATCAACGCTTTGACGACGAAGTTTCAGTCGGCATTCCTGGAGGAATACGAGAAAGGCAACATCGCGCCTCTCGATTATGACAGCGTTGAATCGTACGACTGGGCAAAATTGGTCCGCTGGGCAACCAAGCTTCAGACTCACAAGAACGTACACCTCCCTCGATCTCGCCATGTTCTGGAGGAAACCCATTCACTAAACAACGTAGCAAACGAGACTACAGATTGGAGAGAGAAATGGTTCCAGTCTATGATTTCTATGTATTCGCGAGTTGAAGCAACGTCTAGCGAGCCTATCTCAATTCCCCTGGACGATAGCGTCTCAGCTGACGAAGAGTTCACTAGCCGCGCACGATCTTGGGTTCGCTCCATATGTGTTACCCACATAAAGGGTACCAAGGAGCCAGAAGAGATCCGCGCGAAGCTCCTGGAATTGAGTGATGGAGACGAACTTGAAACGAGTAGACGACTCAAGTCGGTAGTCGATCGACTCTCGGTGGAAAGAGTGGCAGCTAGAAGCAAGGGGAAGATACTCGGCCAATCATTGAGACTTCACGGAGTCTTTGCGAAGCATCTCCTGAAGTCGCCCGCCGTCGAAAAGCTTGCACAGGCTGCAAACTTCAAAGCTCTGCTTGACGCGAGCTTCCGAAAAGGCGAAGAGTTCGAACTACCGTACATCGCCAACGACGGCACAACGATGGCAGTCATCAACCTCCAAGCCCATTCCCGCATCCGAGTCGAAGCTATCGGCCTTCCTAATATTCCTTTCGGGTTCGAACCCGGAAATTACGATGGTAGGACGTTCCCGAAGAGCTACTATCACTTCAAGATGAGATTGGTACCAACGGAGAGCTACATGTTCGACGATGATCTACCGGTCCTTAAGCACGCGTTGCAGATGGAGGCCCCCAAGAAGGGACCTCGAGACGAGATACCCATCTGGGTCGACTTCTTCGGAAACCTACACAAGGATCGTTGGATCACATACCTAAGCATGATGACTGTTGCGCTCGCCACCAAAGGCCCTCTCACACCGAAGAGCACGGCCATCATGCTGAAGCCATTCGTCGAACCGTTCGAGGCGAAGCTCATAATGGATTGGATCGATGGCTTGGGCCTATTGGAACGCTTCGGTTCTAAACAAGGCGGGGCGGTTCGTGAGTGGTGGTGGTTAGCCATGGGGAAATTGGCACGTGAAGTTTCGGGAGTGGAGGTCTCCTAGGTGTAGGGGGAGTAAATGTTGTGATTTGTACCAACATTGATTTCACTTCATAGCATGGCATGGCATAGCATGGCACAGGGCGGCACCAAGCATAGCACAGGGCGTTTGGAAGGGAAAACTAAGATATCCCATATATTTGCTGAGCTTTGTTCTCTACAGGACTTGTTGCATTGGGCAACGAATTGACCATTGGTTTCATACCCACGATTGCCTACTTATCTTTTCTATCGTGCCTCATGCTGGTGCTCCTAGACATTCTTCTTATGTAATTAAACAGTTCGGAATGCCGTACCACATGCAGGTCATAATAGTAAATACATCTATTATCAATTTCCTCTTGCTGATAGTCTCACCGACAGCGGGTCAGCCCCATTGCAGCGGTTCACTCTTAGGGCCGGAGACCCACCTAGCACATGAACCAACGATGAGATTTTAATTATATAATGTTTGTTAAACAGTACAAACTTTCATTCAAGTCTGTAGGTGCTATTGTCTAGTGGTAGGACAATACGTTGTGGTTTACGAGCTTCTAGGAGTCTGGAGTTCGAGACGACATCCGTGTAAACGGCGGTTCGATCCCGTCTAGCGCCATTCCTTTTTTCCTGTCAAACTGGAATTTTTGACCTCCTACACTGGATCATCGAGACGAAGTTAATAGAATGTAGTAGTATGACTAGGTAGTCATCTCACCTCATTCATTTCCGTGATTTATGCTCGAACGCGATTGTACGTGATTAAAACAGGGACATCCTACTACACATGGGTGATTTGCCTTTGTAAGCATGATCTAATTCAATTCTTGGTATCAATACTCATAGCGCAGCCATGACTCTATCCTGCCTATAACGCCAAATCCCTAATGTCCTTTTCTAGCAGTAACCATCGGACTCAACGTCCTACCAGAATCTTCAGAAGCATAGCAATCAATAGGATGGCCAGTGACGCGATGGCGTAGTCGATCCACGGTGGCACTCCCGCGTGAGGATTCACTGATTGAGTTCGAGTCGGTGCGGCCTGGCCTACGGGATCCGGTAGTGGGACTCTTCCCGTCGGTGCTGGGACCCCTTGCGCAGGTCTAGCAGCAGGCGGCTGCGGTGCAGCATCTGTCGGCGGAAAGACCTCCCTCTCAGGCGCAGTCTGCACAAAACCCTCGGCCAGCTCCGCACTCTCCGCGTCTTCCTTGGCTCCCTCGGTATCTCCAGCCTTAGCCTTCTCCATCTCGTCGCGGAACCCCATTTTCAGGTCAGCGGGGACCTCGACTTCTTTTCTCTTCTCGGCAGAAGCAGCATCGAGCTCCCTGCAGCGCTCCTCGCACTCGGCTAGTATATCCCCGTTAGTCCGGGCGCACACGGCGCACCGCCAGGCCTTGCTCTCGGCGGCCAGGCTGCGACGTACGGCGTCGGTGGTGTCGAGGCCGCCTAGCTGGCCGCGGGCATCGGTCTCCATGAAGGAACGCAGGGCGACCAGAGCCGTGCGCACGCCCCAGGCCGGCTGCCACGTCTCCTCGTGGTGGCCCGAGATGCTCAGGCAGATCTCGCGGTTGGCCTCGAAGCGCCCGCTCGGCGTCGTGAAGCGGAACGACGGCGGCCGCAGCGGGTACGTCGGCGGCAGCACGATCCGGCCGTGGTACATGCCCTCGGCGAAGGCTGAGTTCGGCGGCCCGCGCAGCGTGAAGTGCCACTCGAACAGGTCCGACTCTAGCGGCGAGGCGGCGTAGTCGGGGGATGGGGAGGTGGAGAGTTCGGCTGCTTCTTTTACTGTTGGTTGTCGCTTGGTTAGTTCATTATTATTCTTTTATGTAGATAGATATCTAGTGCGGATGGAACTATGTTACGGGAAAGAGGACGTACATATGCGCTTGATGGTAGGCGACTTGGAGTTGAACTTTGGGGTCGCCATGATGTTTTGTCTTGGCTTGGCTGACGCTGTTCGTGATGTCTCGTATATGGCGGGGTGGTAATCGATCAGCTATAGGTCATTGCGGGATGGAGGGAAGTGATATTCGTAGAGTATGAGGGTGGAATTCTAGTATTGAAAGGGATTGACGTTATGGATTTCTTTGCTTGATTGCACTACGGGGTTCCTGAAGTTGTAGGCGAGGACAGGTTGTCTTGATGCATTTCGGGATTCATGAATTGATGCAATACGATACAAAGTACAAGTTGACAATCGCTGCTACGATAGATGATATGTAGCAGATAATGATAAGAAGCACGTGACCTATAAAGCTCGAGTCACGTAGATTTGTCTCCTGAACCCCTATTACAGGTATTCTTTGAAAACACCAAATCTGTCCAACAATGGAGCATTATGCTACCTAGGTACATAGGAGTAGAAGAGGCGAGAAGTAGTATGACTAATAAGAGGAACAGATATTAGCCAACGTATATTAGTCATATCCTGCCCTGGATGAAACGGTTTCTTTCTGTGTACCTAAGGTAAGATGTTGCTTGGAGATTATTTGACTCCTAACAAACAAGCGCCTTCCTCAATGCAATGAATAATGCGTGGAATATATCAAACTTGAAATATACCATTAATTTATAACTCTTCTGTTGCGGCAAGGCTCTGTAAGGCTTTTGTTAGCAAGATGTGGTCAACAATCGATATTTGTCTTCTCGCCAAAGTGCATGTAATTTGCTTCATCTCTCTTCCATCAAGCTAACCAAATGTAAGTACTACTAAGACTGAACAGATTCCTACTGTAAAACCATTTAATTAGGAACCTTAGTGTTGATAGTAGGGCAGCTGTAGAGATAGTTTAGCTAGGTCGCCGCAGTTTCCTTTAACATAGGAGCCATCTTCGAACTCATTAGCGTGCCTTCTAAACACGATATTCATCCTGTCACTTCAGACAACACTAGGTTCTTACATGTACCCACCCTCTAGAGTTACCGATCGTAGTTGCCTTGGACATCTATTTAATGTAGATAAACCTTCAACCGTCAAGGCATCTACCACTAGATTTGGTAGGTACGCTAAGGGGGACATACAGTATTCATTCGAGTGTATTACGCCAATTCAGATAATCATTTGACCCGCTTCACATCTTGACTTCCTTGTCTCTCCCGCGTTAAACATCCCTCGCAGGTGACTTTATTTCTCTGGATTCACCAAGAAATATCCTTGCAGATCACTTCCTTGGGATATTTATCCCTTTCTCTCGTCCTACTCACATCTTTCACCATATCTTCTCAGGCAAATCTTCCATTAGGTCATCCGTCCTTTACTATAGTTGGCAGTGATCCCTTAGACCATAAGCCTCGAAAGGAAACCAATCATGGCATCTAGACTGAAAAGTAATATCAAGTTCTTTGAACCGCGATGTCCAAAATGCAGGGCTACCTTCTTGGATCGGTATACTCTATACGATCATCAGAACATAATGCGCCACCTGATTTGCGATTATTGCGAACAGTTATGCTCCACAATTGAAGGTCTTAGGACCCATCGAGCCGAGGTAAGTATTCTCGCCGCCACAATTTCTGCCTCGTAAAACCGTTAACTGACCACAAACCCGTACAGTACCACAGAGCTAGTCAAGACCTGACTTGCCCGGGTTGTGAAAAGAACTTCATCGCGGCTGGAGGATGGATGCAGCACGTTGAAACGGGCGAGTGCTCCCGCATCTTCCCTTCGGATGTATCCATCGGAGCTGCCCAGAGAATGGAGACCGTAATCAACAATATGGTAAAGGCAAGCCAAACAAGGGTAGGAGTGCTGCCTGTAGATCTCTCTGGACCATCCCACATGACGGAGGATTGGGGTGCCGGTTGGAAAGGCGTTGATGACGCTCAAGATTTCGACGTAGGCCGAAATCCCGACACCTTCCCGAGAACCGCGAGGCAGGAGTTCTACTACGGCGGCTCAAAGCAACCCGACCTTCTGACCGGAGAGGGTAGCGTCGATCTTGAGCAAATTCCAGGCAACGCTTGGGGTCAGAAGAAGGACCTATTCAAGGAGAAAAAGAAATACAAGGCAGTGCCCCTTCCGCCAGATCTCCTTAAAGATACGGCACAATCTGAGTTCCCGGGTCGACCTACAGGAGGACGCATCATCGACCCTTATGACCCAGACTTCAACATTGCCTTATTCAAGGACCCCATCCTGGAGACTTTCAAATGCCCCCACAAGAGTTGCAAGTGAGTGTTCAACTATCTGCACCTTATTGCTGAAGCGGTGCGTCTGACACTCTTGTAGCTCCAAATTCAAGACGCGTAAGGGGTTGGTCACCCATCTTAAGTCTTTGGCACACTCTGGGCAGAAAATTAACTGCCCGGGATGTGAAGACACCTTCACTACTGCTACTGCATGGGTCCAGCATGCAGAGACCGTCGCCACTGCCAAATGCGCTATTCGATCGATGCAGGTCTATGGGGAGGCTTTGAAGGAGATTAGCTCCGGCGCCTTGGAAGTTGACAACGTCAACAAGCTTATCAACGATACGGTGAACATTATCTTCAATGAAGACTGGGCTAAGTCGAAGTGTCCTGTTAAGCCGAAGCTCGTGCCAGGTTCAGCCCCGTGGATCAAAGCCAAGGAAGCAGAGGCGGTTTCTAGCAAGGGTCGTGGAGGTTACTAAGACGCAAGATCAGATCTGGGTCAAGATACCGGTGACTTTCGCAACCACTGCGAGTGTCTTCATCATACGAGTGGTTTTACCCTTTCTTCTTCAGGCTCCATTCACAGAAGCTAGCATCGTCCTGGATCTGATGTGAGCAGTCCCATGGCTGTGTATATTTGCATCGATCTTCATTTGCTCTTATAATTTCTTTCTTTTAACAGTCTGAGGAGAACGATTCGATACTTTCTAAACTAAGTTACAGTAGCTCTGCAATAGTTTGCCAATGGACTCAGCACACTCACCGATCCTAGGACTTGGTACAATAATAATGCAATGTGATGTCAAATGCCCTCTCACCTTTGTCGTGTGTAACAATTGATATGTCTACACATTTTAAAACAGCCAAGAGCACCAATACGACGACATAGAGTCTTAGAGATGCTGTTCAGCCAATGAGATGGTAGGAACCAACCCCATACTTCATTGCGGAACCATTTTATCCATGCATGGGTGGTGATTGAATCGTCCGTAGATCACTCTACACAATTCAGCCGCCCCGGGTTCTGGACGCAGAGCTAATTGCCAAAGTAGGTAACCCTTCCTCTGTTGCGTACTCACCTGTCCACCTTCTAAATCATCTACCACCGTAATAGAGGCCTTGAAGCTCTAGTCTCGTATACCTCGCTGCTGTAAGTTGCTTGTAGTTAGGATAGATCACGGGTTCAAGTCTTTCTCCCACTGGCGCATCGTAATCTTCGAAGACGCTTCCTCCTGGAGCTTTACTTCACCGTAGCTAGGAACTCCGCCTTCTCCAAGTTCAGACAAGGCCAATCTACGTTACGATTGGGTATTGGTGTGGTGTTGAACCCTGCATATTCATATATTGCCCAGTCGGCTGGTGATCATCGTTTTCTGAGATTGGGGGGCCGGCAGATATGGATAACCATGTACGAATGAGATTCTTATTACCGGATCAGCACCACCGCTACGGAGAGAGGGGTGGAGAGGGCGTAGATCCGGGGAGGGG